TCAGGATGTTTTTTATCCCTCTGTCGTTTATTTTAAAAAACCTGCTGAGATGTTTGATCTTTTCTCCCGATGAAAAATATAATCTGTAATAATCTCTAATCCATAAACAAAGGACCTTTATTGTGAAAGGCAAACCAGTCTTCCGGTAGCAGCGGCCGGAAGTGCCCCCCTGTGACTCTTCTTCTCGGGCAGTTTTCCGGTAGAACAGTTTGTCAATAAAAGCTTTGAACGTGAGAAACTTTCTCTTTGTTCTGACCACGTGGTTTGTGGCGCGTTGAAAACTTCCTCTCCGTGAGTCGCGTCACGGTTTGTTCCAACATGGCGGACGCGGATGAAGTCGCCCGGCTGTGCTACGAGCGTCTGGAGGCGCTGCCCCGCAGAGGGAGGCCCGAGGCCGGCAGAGAGTGGACCCTGCTGGCCGCTGTGCTGCAGCGGCGCCGCTGCGCCGCGTCTCACTCAGGTTCGACTGAGGAGGAGAAACACGTTCATGTCGGAGTTCCGTCCTCCGCCGAACTCCTCTGTTCGTTTCTGAACTTTAAATCACTCAGAGCTGACAAACAACTCGAACCTTCATATCGCTCATGAACCTAATGTTGGGTTTCTTCTCCTCTGGACCCAGTTCACTCTGGAGGATCGAACAGTCAGTGAACTTATCTGAACAGATATAAATGCATCAAGACACGAGACGATTCAAAGTGAAACCTCTTGAAAACAGATTAAACAATCAGCTGCAGATTGACCGGCTCAATATTCGAACTTGTATTTATTGCACTGACCATTAGAGCTGATAAAGGTTGTGTTTGTGTTCCCTCTGTTCATTCTTTACAAATGAAACATGACAACACTTTACAACGAAGAAGCATTTAAAAAGAAGACAATGAGAATAAATACATTTATATAACAATAAAAGTGATAGTGCAGTGTAAGAAAGGAGTAATTGTTTGATTTAAAAAAGACAGAGACAAACAGGAAAGTCTTATTACGCTGCAGCAGATCAGAAACTCATTTGGTCCCTAAACCATTCAGAGCTTTTTCAAACCAACAGCAGCATTTTGACAGACAGGGAACCAGTGTAACAAACGTTGAATATAAAGAGTAAATTCATCTCACTACGAGATCAACACACACTCAGCAATGGTTTGTAATATGACAAATATGGATCTTTATATGTTAGAAATGACATTTTAACGATCTGAGCATCTTTTTTCTCTCACAGTAAAGACGGAGGTCGTTTCCCTGGGAACTGGAACCAAATGTATTGGACAGACACAAATGAGTCCTAATGGTGTGTGTGGTGTTCACTTTATTACCATAGCTGGTGTCTCGTTTATGTCTTTGTCCCCCATTGAGTTTATTATAATAGATTTATTCTATTGTTGTGTTTCATCAGCTTAACACCCCCCCGACCTAAAGGAAATATATACAATAACATTAATCATCATTAAAACAGTTATTATATTTTCAAAATGATCAAATAAAGTCAGGAACAATAGTCAGTTATTACTATTGTACTAATAATATGTTTTAGTCTTCAACCGAACCTTGAACCTCACAAAGCTTTTGGCAGAAACTTAGTGTCACGTTAGTTAAACTCGTCCTGTCATTTCTCCCATGATGCAACACCCCTGCTCACTATTCACTACATTCTCTGTGGGGAACTGGCATCCATGACAGTTTTTAAACACCCACTGTAGAAATACATTGTTAGAGTTATTTTTGTGTCCCTGCAGGTGATGTCCTCAACGACAGTCATGCAGAAGTCATCGCCAGGAGAGGATGTATCAGGTCTGTGTCTTTGTTCAGTTGCATGTGTGTCTAGAAGCATGTTGGCTATGCTATGCAATACTATACAATATTAACTGTGTGCGTGTCTGTCTGTGTGTGTGTGTGTGTGTGTGTGTGTGTGTGTGTGTCTGTGTGCAGATACCTGCTCCAGCAGCTGCACGGGGCTGTGAGCGGAGGCAGCAGCTCTGTGTTTTGCCCGTCTGAGGAGCAGGGGAAGTGGAGGCTTCAGCCGGGAGTTTCCTTCCTCTTCTTTACCAGCCACACTCCCTGTGAGTCCAGTCTGCTCTCACTGCACCTGCTGGATTTAAGTCACTCGATCATTTACACATCATGCAGCTCCGGCTGAACAACTCACAACAAGCTGCCTCTGCCTGCGGACAATATTTTGCAAATGCAGAGATCTGTCTTAGGGTTTTTAGAATTGATATTGAATCCTTCAAATACAAATTGAATTGTGGAAAAGTTCTATGTTATTCCCGTTCATATGAAGAAGAAGGTTTGAATCTCCTGTGTTGATTTAAATACTTCAGGTATTTGTATTTTTTATCAGAGAGCTTCAAGTTAAATATAGAACTATCAGCCTTCATGAAGCTGAACTGTCCCTTTGTCCAGAATCCAAAATCAGTCTTCGTGTGTTTTACCAGGTGGTGACGCTTCCATCATCCCTCTGACTGACAGCCCGTCTGTAAAGAGTCGTGAAGGGACGGATGCAGGACACTTGAAAAGGAAATCTGAGGATCCAAGCGAAGGGCCACACACAAAGATGCCCCGTGTGGACAGAGAGGAGACGGCAGAGAGGAGGACAGAGGACAGAGAAGACACAAAAACATCATTCCCCTCAAATTCATCTAAAAGTGAAGATCCATCTCAGAGTCACGCCACAGAAACTGTCTCGCATGCTTCAGCAGAGCTGGAGATAAAAACCAGAGGCCCCTCCCACAGCGCTGGACTGAGTTGTCAGGTCCCTGATATTCACAGAACGGGGGCCAAGTGTGTCCCTGGTGGCCCAGCAGACCCACTGCAGCCCGGGACGGGGTACCACAGCACAGGGGTGCTTCGGGTGAAGCCTGGTCGAGGTGAACCGACTCTCTCCCTGTCGTGCACCGACAAACTGGCCCGGTGGGCCGTGCTGGGCTTCCAGGGTGCGCTGCTGTCCCATTACCTACAGGAGGCGCTCTACTTCAGCACTGTGGTGGTGGGGAAGTGCCCGTACAGCCAAGAGGTCATGCACAGAGCTTTGGTGACAAGGTGAGAAAATAAATACAACCAAATATAAAGAACTTGAATTGAGAAGATTAACTTAACTTAAAGTTCTGCTGCGTTTCTTCTGTAAAATACAGGTTGACTCACGTTGCTACGTCTGAAAACTCATCTATAAATCATCCAACAATGAAAGAGTCCAACAACAAACAAAGCTGCAGCTTCCTGACACACGAACACATCATTTACTGACGTCAGCTCATATAAAACAACTGATGTTTAGTTGATTTACTGAATCACTTGGAGAGAGAGGAGTTTATCTTACTAACTCAGTTCCCCCCACGTCACCAGGGGGCCTCTGTAGAAATCTGATCTCGGAGCAGAACTTGATTCTAGTCCTCGTGCGCTCCTCAGGTGCTCCCGTGTGACCGACCTCCCGGCTGGTTTCTCTGTGACCCCACCGGTGCTCCTCCAGTCCAGCCTGGAGTTCCGCTTCAGCCAGGCCCAGGCCGAGCTGCAACACCAGGCCGCGCAGGGACGCATCTCCCCCTGTGGGGCAGGTAGGGTTACACAGCCCAATATATCTGTGTGTGTCACAGATACACCCAGAGATTAGAGCCAGCGTCAAACTCTGTTTGTGAAGTGAGATTAAATATAAAGGAAAAGCTTAAATGCAGAATAACTGTTCTATCTTTCAGCCATCAGTTGGTGTAATGTGACTGAACAGCCAATAGATGTCACTGCCAACGGCTACAAGCACGGAGTCACAAAGAAGGTGTTGGGCACAGCGAAAGCCAGGTGGAGCCAACACACTCACTTTACATTTTCATCACATACAGAGGAAGCGACAGTTCACACATTCTTTACTCAAGTACAGATACCTTTGGGACAGACAAGTAAAAGTACAAGCACTGATTCCACCTCTTTACTCCAGTAAATGTATAAAAGTTCGGGCTCTGTAAAAGTTTCCCTGTGAAGGTCATCGTCACATTAATCAAGTTCAAGGACTGTTTCACAATCTGACGACACCAGAAGAGATTTATGAGCATGAAGAAGGTTCCAGAAGGAAACGTGTAAAACTTTATTGTCATTCACACCACGCACAAGAAAAGTGCAGTAGAATGAAACCACCTCACAAACCTTTTTTTTGAGGAGAAGAAGAAAAAGAATCGACGGATAATTTCCCTCAAATGCATTAAAGTAATGAGGCTGTTTTGAAAATATGAGGAGAAAGTTTAGATATTTGTGTTAAAATGTAGAGTTAAAGTAAAAAGTCATCTAAATACTAATACTAATAAATACTCAAGTAAAGTACAACTACAGTACACAGTATGACTGAGTTACCACCTCTGATTATTTATACACACAGTAGTATCCACAGTGTAATGACTGATGCTGAGTGAATGTATGACTGTGTCTCCAGGTCTCTTCTGTGTAAACTGGAACTTTTCCGCTCATTCCTGTCTCTGGTTTCAGCCACGGAGCCGTCAGCACGTCCGAGCTCTCTCAGGTGACGCACAAAAGACTCTTTCATAATCTCAGGTCTGAGGTCTGAAGGAAGATTCAAACTGAATCTGAACAAAATAAAACCAGAAACTAATGAAAAATGACAGTTTCCAATCCGCGCTCTGTCTGTAGATCTGTGATGTAACCTGACCCCCCCCCCCCACACACACATGTGCAGTAGGGACGACTCTGAGTTTTGTGTCTGAGACATAAAATATAAAATTCAACACTTTAGTCCAAAGAAGATTTTAGCTCCGTCCCAGAAATCTCCTCTGTCTGCACCATCTGTAAATAAAGATGAGCGACATGTGGGATCCCTACAGTGAAGCCAAAGTGTCTGGATCGCCCCCTGGTGGCGTTGGAAGCCTCCCTTACACAATGTTGTGAAAGTGGAAATGTTCCCACATTTCATTCACTGACGTTGGTGTTTCCAGCTTGTTTTGCTGGAGGAGCTCGTTTTTTTTTTTTTTTACCTTTGTTTCATTATTTTCTGGTAAAATAAGCCACAAAAAAACTGAAAACTCACCTGAGACTCTTTAGATTCTGATCTTAGAGTTAGATTCATTTCCTCTGTGCCTCAGTTGCCATTCATTTGTTTTTGTGATCGAGTTACTCCATCGTGGCTCAAGAGGCGACATGTCGCACAAACACTCTGTTGTTTGACATAATGAGCGTTTGTGTCCTGTCACAGAGTCACTGACGGAATCTGATCTCAGGGTGGACGGACCAAAAGCAAATACACCTGGGAAATAAAGGACCTAACTTATGCAACACACAGGAAGTCAAGTGTGCTGATAATATCAGAACCCATTAACCTCGTTCGTATCGTGTGACATACGTTAAGTTTTGGGTTCTTAGTCTGTTGAGGGGATTCATTTGAACGAGCGTTGTTACGTCCCTGTGTGTTGGAGGAGCAAATAAAACCTGACGTTTTATTTACAATGAAAGAAAACTAGTTCAGTCCCTGTGTTTGTAATGTTGGGTTCTCTTCGTCTTCTTCTCTTTGTTTGTGTGCAGAGATTTTTATAAACAGTCTATGGTCCAGAGTGAAGTTAGAAAACTTTGTGTTCATCCTACCTGGTTAATCTGCACTGAAGATTTTATACTCGATGTTTTTGTGTGGTTTATATACAAGTTTGAAATTTACTAAACTGATTTTTTTTTTTACACGTCAACTATTTTGTCAGTTAAACAATCAGACCCAAGTTCTTAACTTTTCAAAATAAAAGCTCTGTAACCCCTCTCAATATAAAGCTTTGCAGTAACGAAACGAACTTGCGGAAGAGGAAGTGATGTATGATCTCTGAATGTTATCAGCACCTGTGACTCCCTTGAATATCTGTCTCAGTCCGTTATTGTGAAATATCCTGAGGTGTGACCGTGGTTTATCTAAGGACCCCCCGCTGAGCTGCAGAGCACTTATTATTAATAATGACCAAACCAAATTTAACACTGCGCCTCCTGAACAATACACGTGGAGTTTAAAGTCGATAAGATGAAGAGTGTGTTAGATAAGAGTCTGCAGGTAGAAGACAGAAAATGAATGAAGCGTTAAAACGAGCTGATCTGATGATGCAGAACCGATAACAACCTGAGGGAGTTCAAGTTTAGTTAAAGTGGAAACAGAACAATCACCCACCCTCTAAAAAAGGAGGAATTTTACCGGTCACACGTTCTCCCTGAGCCACTCTCAGGTTTTTCAGCTTGTTAAATGTCCTGAGTAACATTTTGGTTGTTGTACGTGTCTGTGTGCAGGAGAACCGACCTGCAGACCTACTGGGACTACAAGCAGGCGTCCCGCTCGTACCAGCAGGCCTGGCAGCAGCTGCACAGCCAGGCGTTCCCTCTGTGGCCGCGCAGCAACAGGAATCTCCTTCTCTTCCACTGAACTCCCTGAAACCTCGGCTGCTCAGAACTTTGCAGAACAGGTCCATGAATCTCTGGCTTTACTGTCGCATCAGAAACGGAATCATCTTCATCATGTGACACTTTTAATAAAACGACAAACTGGATCTCCAGAGTGTTTGATTTCCCAGCAGCTGTTGGGTCGAAGTTTGATCTGTGGATAAATATTGTTCGGTCCTGTCCGTCTCCTTCCGTCACCCAGGAAGTCGCTGCTGGCGGCCGCAGAACGCCCGGCGCTGTCACGCTGTTCTCGGGGGTCGATGACCGCTGATCGCTGTCCTCGGACGATAGCTTTGTTTTCATTGTGCGGTTAACGTGTTGTGACTGCAGCTGAAAACACAGCAGGACGTGTGACTGCAGGCAGCAAATCAGTTAGAAAGAAACTCTCTCTACTTCATGAAGCCTCCAGGTTAACACAGGGACTGAGGATCTGTTGAGTCACAGCTTCAGCTCAGCAGACTCTTGAATACGCAGCAGTTTAATGCTCACTGTCGTTAAACAGCTGCAGTCTTTACACACGTTCTCATCTTATTACTACTGGACCGTAGTGGACTGATCTTCAAAAAACAAGTTGTAATAAGTTGCTTGTTCTCACCCTAACCCACTTCTGTTGGGTTTGAAATGGTTTGAAACTGGTTTGGATCTGGTTTGTGTTAGAAATGGTTTAGACCCGGTGTGACCTGTGTGTGCCGTTGTGAGCTTCAGGACAGTCAGGGTCGGGTTAATGTTGATCGACGGAACAGGAAATGAATGACTGGCATAAACGTACATCGTGTTAAAAGAAAAACAAAAGAAAGACGCTCTTTAGCACTACTAGTGGTCAAAAACTGCACTTGGTCCCTTTAATTTTGAACAAAAGAAGAAATAAAGATGTTGAACATCAGACACATTTGATTTTATATTGAGTTTTATTGGTCAGGTCTTCCAGCTGCCTCACCTTTTTCAAATATCTAAAACTCCATTAAGTTTTCTTTTTAAATATATTTAACGATCATACAACACAGATGAAATAAAACAATCCTCCATCATTATATTACACTTCTACAGAGCATGTTGAAAAGCCTCGAATCAGCCGTGTGGAAACAGCAGGTGTGTCGCTTTGATTCAGCACCAAAAGCTTCAGCTGCAGGCAGAACACAGGCGACAGATTCATCGGAGCGCAGAGAGGAACGATCGTTTCTGATTTCACCTCTCGGACGTCTGAGCAGCCAAAGACCCGAGCAGCTCTGCTCTTCAAATACTGGACGTGGTCGTGTGTTTTTATGCGATTTGAACTCTGCACAGGATAAATCTGCCTCCGGTGATCTTGTTCACCGACATGTTAAACTTTAAACTTTGCAGCGACAGGGTTAAATATTGTGTATCTTGTAAAAGTCCCAGGAAAACGAAGCTCGTGATGTTGTTGTCATGCACCTGTTTGATGTGTGTGTGTGTGTCACAGCTCAGGAAACACGCAGCTGCCCCCATGTTTGTGTCTCAGTGGGGTGTAAACAGTTCTGATTCTCTTCCAGTGCAACATAGTGAGTTACTGGACGACCGACGTGATTTCAAGTGAGAAAAGATCTGTTTTCAACGTATTAG